CATCTTTTACAATAAGGTACTGTAAAAACCCCATAAAAGAAAAAGAAAAAATTCAGACTTCTCCTCTGGTACGAAGGGAGGGTCAAAAAATTTTATGCAGATTTTCTAGATCGTGGAGGTACTGTGCCCCCAGCCCCTGTGATGTGGAAGGAATAACTGTAGTTGTTGCCTTTGAATTTGTCAGTGGTACAAGCCTGGAGAGAGCAGGCTAGGCTGGATGGGAGAGAGGCACAGCAACAATGAGGGAGAAGAAGGCTGCATATAACTTGGGTGGAAGAGATGAAACAGCTGCCGGGGAGTTATTTGGGGTGGCAGTATGAAAAAGCTCCAAACTTGGGTTTCTAGAGATCCCTCGCATCTTTTCTTGGGTATAAAAGAGAAGAAGAAATATATTTAATCATTGTCAGGGAAAGAAAAACCTCTGTCAATATTCAGCCTGATATTGCAAATGGCAGATGGTCTAGTAGAAGGAGTATTGGCTTTGAACTGGGGTTTCAATTCTGACTCTGACTCTTTCAGCCTATGTGACCTTAGGCTATTTTCCCTCTCTGGGCCTCTGTTCTCATCTATAAAAATGAGTGGGTTGGACTCTCAGTCTTTAAAGTTCATTCCAGCTCTATATCTTTGCTTGCATGAGGACTATGATTTGGAGGGATCTCACACCCCACAGAGATTTGGCCCAGAACCAGAAAGTCCATCTGTTCTAGGTATATGAAAATTAGCTTTCACCATTCTTTGAGGCAAGGAGGGCAGGAAGAGGAACAGGGAAGTGGAAAGAATAAGCATTTATATAGTGCCTACTATGTGCCAGTCACAGTGTGAAGTGAAGAGAAGAAAGATTTCATTGAGGAGATGGTCTCTGGATTGCTGGTTCCTTGGGCGGACTGAATCCACTGACCATTTAAGTAGAGTTTGGTAGAGTAGCCTTCAGGGGTCTGTGACCCCTATGGGAGTTCAGTAAACACTTGTCTCATTCATGTGACTGAGAAATATATCTATCCTCAGACCAAGACAGAATTAGATATAATGACTCCCTTCTAATGATAATCATTGTAAACCAGAAACACACCAGGACCATGGGGTAGGTTGGAGAGGGACAGCCGAAGCTTGATCCTATTCTAGCTGTCACTATCAGACTTTTGGGAAAGAGAGAGGGGCTTGGAGGCTGGGCCCCATCCTCTTGTCCCTTAATAGAAACAGGCAGAGAAAGAGGAGGCCTCCTGGACGTAGGCACTAAAAGCAAGAGGGTGCAAGGGCTGTCCTCGCCTGTGAATGAATCTTCTCTAGGCCCTCATTTTCTTAATTTGTAAAGTGGGCTTGATGCCCTCATACTGTGAAGACAAAGTTCTATCCCCTGTGTAGACTGAGCACTAAGGAGAGAAGATTCTGTCCATTTGGGGCTTTTATAGTACTGTAGCAAGATGCTACTTAATGCTGATGCCAAGGCATCTTGCCTAGGAAACTTGGGTATCAAAGCTCAGGCCTGGCTGCTCAGGCGAGCAGTTCTGTAAACAGCTTTTTAAATAAACAACTCAGTTCAATTCAGTAAACATCTATTAAGCACCTACTATGAGCCCAACTGGAGAGGGCCTTATTTGCAGGATGCAGGCAACAAGAAGCCAGTGAGGGCCACTGAGTAGGAGCACAACGTAATTCAGCTTAGGCCTAAGAATATTATTTTGGCCATCTGGGTGAATGATGAATTGTAAAGGGAAGAAACTAAAGGCAGAGAGACCAGGGAAAAATACCTTTGGGAATTCGAGCATGATAAGGGCCCAAATTAGGGCATTGGCCCTATGAGTGGAAAGGAGGAAGGTATTATAGTCCAGGCCTAAGTCAGGGTCAGCCTGGAAAGAATTGAGACATTTATAGGTCATTTAACAGTTAACAGAAAGAGGTTTATTTAGCCATAGCACCTAACCTCTCTCCTATGGCTTTAGAAATAAAGAGATTATACACAGGTCCAATGGAGTTGTAATTTCTAGGCTCTTTCTCCTGGCATCAGAATCAATAGCTAATGTTGCCTTCAACGACTAGTGGCTGTCTCAGTGAAGGGATCATTACCCTTGGGTCTGACCCTACTCGGTGGCAGAAGCCTATCCTTTTCCTCTCTTGTCTTGGACTTGCTGATGCCCAGATATACCCATTTTCCAGATGGCAGTGCTGCCTTTAGTGGCAGCAATGTGACTATTCTTTTCAGAAATCTTACTAGGGTGGCTCTGGTCAATCTGCTCCTTCTCTGTAATGTCGAGATGGAGGGAACTGCAAGGCAACTGGAGCTGCATGACTGGGAGGTGTCATTGCACGAAGCAGCAGCAGCAGCAGCAGTGCAGTAGATTGGAGCTGGTTTCCTGAAGTCACAGCTGTTTGAGAATTTTCATTTCAAGGAAGACTGAAGTCATGAATTTGAAGAAAGCCCATCCAGAGTCACAGGACCAGCTAGAGATAGGGGACTAAGGAATCTTCTAAGAAAATTGCTCCCCTAGCCAGGCCATGTGGTGCAATGGAAAGCGCCATATTGACTATCTATATGACTTTAGTGTCCTCCTTTGTAAAATGTGAGGTTGGATGAGATGACTGCAGGTCGGACCCATTTGCTATTTGGGCAGGATTTGGTAGAATAACAGGACTTCTTCCAAAAAATCTACTGGATGTTACATAAAGAGGAAAGTTACTTTTTTTTTTCTGGGATGCCCCTGGTTGGCCCTCTAGCTCTACTTCTCAGCTGTGTTCATACCTAAAGCCAGTGTAGATGCCAGATGATCCAGACTCATTGAAGAAGGGAAAACCATGGTACCCCTTCCTCCTGTATCTGCTGGTCTGTTTGGCCAGCCCTACTGTACATCCCTGAATGACAAGGGCTGAGACAGGACACAGTCCCCAGCACTACAGGTGGCTGACTTGAATGGAAGTCCTGAGCTCTGTCAGCCATACCACTTGTGGTCACAGGCCAGTCTCAAAGCACCTTGCTTGTGACCAGATCTGGCTCTAGACCAGGGTAGGACAAACAATGGCATTTGTACCCCGGAGGGCTATTCTCTCCCTTCCTCCTATGTGCACATCCTTTTCTTTCTCGTGTCTTTCTCTCTTCCACTCACAACTCCTTTCCTTTTCTTCTCTCTCCCTCTTTTTCTTCCTTGGACCCAGCCTGTCAGGACTACCAGTAGATACTCCCAGAGATGCTGTTTAGGCTGTTGAGAATGTCAAGTTAACAATGGGTATAACTTATGATGGAAAGGGTTGGTGTCAGGGACTGGCCTGCCGCTTCCCTTCCCCAGGAAAGAGTGAAAATTTGGGGCCTTCGAGCTCTGCCCTATGAAGCCCTTTCCCCCTTTCCCCTTTCCCCCTCATTCCTTTCATCTCCAAGTCCTATCAGTAGATAGAACATTGTCGGAACCAAGTAAGAAGGCAGAAGAAGAAAAGTTGTTACCTTGCTTTGAAAGTTCTTCACTATGTGGACTATCCCACCATTATTTAATGCCCATGGGCATACCTCTTATGTCCCTCTGAATTCAGTGAGTAACTGAGGGTACGAGCTTCAGAGGATAGAGCTGAGCTGAGCAGAAGAGAGGGCAGTGGGGGCTGAGCCCAGATGAGGGTGATGTGGGTAAGTCAGGAGTCCCTGCCAGAACTCCTCTATCTCAGTGCTCCCTGTAGGAGGACAGGCCTTTTGCCTCCTTTCAGATCAAGGGTAGGAGGTGGAGCTCCAGGGAAGGCCCTGCACTTGCTTCTTGCCCAACTGTCTGCCTTAGGAATGAGGCCTAGAGGGGGGCCAGGTGGCTGGCTTGAGCCTGGCTGACTCCCTCCTTTTTTCTCTTCATGGCCTCACTGACTCACATGCTGCTGCCTTTCTTCTTGGTCATCCTGACTGCCTAGGTGTTGGGACCTTGGTGCAGGCAGAGATCCCCGGGAGATGGGAACATCCTATCCACTAACCTGCTGCGCTCCTCCAACTGGCTCTTCCTTCCGTCCAAACCATAGGTGCTTTCTGAGGACTAATGATCCCCACTGTCCTTCTCCTCTTCTTTTCTCCCTTCCCTTCCTCTCCCTCTTACTCCTCTTCTTTCTACCCTTCCTCCAGGCCATTTTCTGCCTCATTTTTTTTTACCTAGCCTTAATGACTGAATGGGTGTTGCTTCACTCAAACTGAGACCCATTAAAGACCTTAGCTTAAAAAAAGCCAAGGTCTCCCACTGCATCCAGAGCCATCTCTAGTCCTCCTGATCTGTATCTGGCCACTGGACCCAGATGGTCCTGGAGGAGATAGTGAGGCTGGTGACTCCACACAGCCCTGCCTCACTTAAATCCAATTAACTTGCAAGTCATGACATCACCTTCCTGATGTCAGGGTCCTCTTTGAGGAGGAAGGACCAACAACAAGAACCTCTTCAAGTTTTTCTTGACAATGTGAAAATCCCTTTCTTTACAAATCTAGGAGCCCAGGGGAACCCCACCCCCACTCCAAGCCTGGGCAGGGTATGGTGTTCTAAGTCTTCTCTCTCTCTCTCTTCTCTCTCTCTCTCTCTCTCTCTCTCTCTCTCTCTCTCTCTCACACACACACACACACACACACACACACACCCCTACCTAACAAAAAGACGGGCTAGTGAGGGGAAGATAAGGGGTTTCCCATCAGTACCAGGCATTTCTTCTCCATCCTCCAGTCCGCTGTACCTCACCCACCCAAGCAGCTTTCCTTCCCTAAAGTGCTAAAGAAGAGGAAACCTCCCACGTGGGGAAATTCCTCTTAGCATAGAAGCTGAGGTCAGGGGAATCCTTCGTTCTCCATCCTCCTCCTCCTTTTCCTCCTTGCCCTCCTCCTCTTCCTCCTCCTCTTCTTCTTTCTCTTCCTCCTCTTGTTTCTCTTCCTCCTCTCCAGTCTCCACCTCTTCCTTCACCTCCTTTTCCCCTCTTCCCATTCCCTCCTCATCCCCTCCCACCAGCCTTGTGGTTGTTACCACTCACCGTGAACTAACACGCCCCCTGGTGTTTGCATGCAGTCATTGCATCCAGCAGATCCTGGAGGCTGTTCTCCATTGCCACCAAATGGGGGTCGTCCACAGAGACCTCAAGGTGAGTTTTCTGCCCCAATGCTCTGTCCGTCTGTCGTCTCTCCGTCCGTCTTCGTATCTTGCATGCTTTTTTTAGAAAAATATTTTCAAAAAAAAAAAACCTGGGTCAGTTCCAAGTGGTTCCAAGTGGTTTCTGACAGCAGTTAACCTCCTCCTCCCTGCCCCACCCCCTACATTGCTGTATTTGTATGTATGTGGAGAGTGATGTGGTACTAACAGGGTGTCATTGGTGCCCTCAGAAGGGCCCTTAGTGTGCTTATTGATACCAAGTCAGCCTTTCAGGCAGTGTAGTTTAGTGGAAAGAGCATTGGATTTTGAGTTGGGACTTGGGTAGGAATCCTAGTTCTACCATTTAATCTATGGACTTTGGGTAAATCACTTCACTGCTCTGGGCTTTCTCATCTGTAAAATGTGAAAGTTAGACTAGATGGCCTGTAAGGTCTTCTTTAGCTCTACACCCATGACAGTATTTTCACAGACTCTCTCTCTCTCTCTCTCTCTCTCTCTCTCTCTCTCTCTCTCTCTCTCTCTCTCTCTCTCTCTCTCTCTTTCTCTCTCTCTGGTTAGTCTGCCAGGAGGCTTGTTGGGTATGTGATGAAGAGGTGAAAGACAGGTCTACTGCAATTGGTCAGGCCCTATTACCCCTGTGCAGATAGCACAGGCTTTTCCTACTGTCCTTCAAAGGCTGCCATCACGGTGTCTGGTAGCCAGAGGGTGGCTGAGTAGAATGTGTTTTAGCTAAGTTTTATTGACAAATGGGGTCAGCATGGCGAACAGCTATTTGAAGTGACCTGGGAGATGAGTTTCAGAAGCCAAAAGAAGCAAGATTTCTTCCCTTTCTATCATTTTTCTCCCCATCCTTCAGATAAGCCCTTCCTGGCCCTTGCCAGGCCTTCCCCTTGGGTTGGTTCTTAGCCCCCTCTCTTCCCAGCTGGGCTGAAGTTAATGCCCTGAGCCACAAGCATGTCATCCCTTTTGCTCACCGGCCTTAGCCTTGCTTGGTTGTGGGTAGTTGTATTTGCTTCCTAGATGGTGGAGGGGTTGGTCTGTCTTGTGGTCTGGTACTTCTGGGATCAGTAGGGCACCTGCATTTCTGGAAGTCATGCCCTTTTCTACAACATCATGGATGTTCTGAGCTGGTTTCAAGTTAGCAGTGGTCAGGTAGAAAAGTCATCAGGATCCTTGTGCAAAGGGTAGAGCATGGGAGAGACTTTCTATCCCACTTAGGGCAGGGAAGTGGAAGCCATTCATTGGATCAACCTCTGATTTCACATCTGTACACTCATATCATTGCCATCAGGCTCGCTGCCCCAGAGTTCAGGTCTGATGCCAAAGGCCAAGTGGCCACTCTCCGGTCTGCATGCCCTGTCTGGTTTTCTTTGTGTCCTTTGTTTTCTATCACCATGTAGGTGCCCTGTATTTTCTGGTTTCCTCACGTCTCTCCCATGCAGCCCAGCTTCCTGCCACAAAAAAAGAAAAAAGAGAGTCCATGGATGCTCTCAGATTATGAAGGAAAAACTGTTCCTTCCCCTACAGCCCTCATGGAGGGAAAAGAAGGCAACTGGCCAGTTGGGTGGGAGTGTGTGTGTATGTATGTGTGTGTGTGTGTATGTGTGTGTGTGTGCACATGCAAGCACATGGGTGCACTGTGGGCATTGCTAGGGTTGGCTGGGAATATCTGGATGTCATGGTTGAAGATTCTCAGGGACTGGGGCATAGGCAAATTTGGTTTTTTCTTATCCTTAACCTTGTTGCTGCTATCCATTATTTTTCTAATTAACTCTAGAGCCAAGATGCTTCCAATCTGTGCTTCCTTTCCCTCTCCAGGTATTTTCTGCAAACAGGGAGAGAATCTTTGCTGAAAAAAAGAGGAAAAACAAACAAAAATGCCTAAATAAAAAAATACTGCGTGTTTTGAATGTAATCAGCAAAATTACTGATGAGAATGTGCCAGATCATTCCAGCATAACCTCAACCTCTTCCAGTAGGAGTGTGGCCAAAAAGACAAGGAGTCTGCTGCAGGAGGCCCCTCTTCCATCTTGCTGCTGGGTTAGAAAGTGTCCCAAATGCTCCAGGGTGAAACTCCTTTTTTAATTATAATGGGCCTACCCAGTGTCCTGTGGAGAAAAAAGGGTGGACCAAGAATTTAGGATGAGAATCAGTGGCAATGATATGGCTCAGAAAAAGCCCCACCATGCCTGGAACAGCCCACCCCACAGAGAGAGTGACAGAGGGGAAACTGGTGATAAGGTGGGCTTCTTATCTCCTACTTGAAAAGTCCAGTCAGACCCTATTAGATCTCTCTATCCTGAGGCTTTGGGAGCCAAGGCTAGAAATGGGCAAGATAGACAGCTGCCCAAATAATGATAATGGATAATGCCCATTACACTACCCTAGTGTAATATATTAGCAGCCTAATGAAGGCGACTTTTCAATATGACTTTTCTAATTCTTCATGCCAGAAAATTCCACCATCCATGGTATAGAGGCACTTATTTTTGACTAAGTGTTCTCTAAGATCCCTTCTGATTCTAAAATCCCGTGATCTCATGTGTCCTCCCCCCCCCTTTTTAAACAGCATTAGATTAAGGCCTCCAGTGAATACTAACACATAAGACATAATTTTCAAACATGGTTGGGGGTTGGAGGGCAGGTTGTAATTTTAAGATCTTGTCATGGACTCCTAAATGGCTCCTCTAAATGCCTGAGAGGCTGGGCTCTATTGTGGCTGATTCAGAAAAGATCATTTCAGCCAAAGAGTAGCTTGCCAGAGTGATCCTCCCTCTTGTTTACAAGGGCCCAAAGGGGAACCTCATCTCAGAGTATGGTGGCCCAGGAGCTCTCTCTTAATTAGCAGGACCAGAGCTTTCTCTTTTATCTGGTTGGTAGGAAATGGAAAGCAACCTAGTGTCACCTCTACCTTCCTGTAATTCTCACCCCTACCTATTTGGTGCCTCTCCTTCCAGCTCCCCCTAGGGACAAGCTCTTTCAGAAAGTTACTCCTTCCTGCCTCACTACTGGAAAATGTTGTCTCTATTCTGTCCCTAATGAGAGGCTTACTTATGTAAAAGCTTTAGCTGAAGCCATATACTGACTTTACCAATTCTAGATGAGCTCTAAGGAACATGCACAGATTTCTGTCCATCCAAAAACCCCTTGTACTTCCCAGTCTAGCTCTCCAGAACAAAGATCTCTCAACTGGAGCTCTAGGAATTCTTGGAATAGCCCTAAGGGGCCAGGACAGGAGGCAGTATGTGCTTGGTCCCTGCTGATGTGGGAAAGATGAAGAAGCATTGCTTCTAGCAATTCTGGTAGCTCAGGAGCTATGATAGTCATGATAATCCACCTATACTATGCAAACTCATGAGCCGGAGACCTTGAGAAAGTATGGAGAAAGGAAGAAAGAGCTGGGAAGCCTATCTGCCTGGTTCAAGCAACATACATTGTGTAATCCTGGGCAGCTAGCCAGGGCTGTGAGAAGAGGAGGCTTTCCTACACAGTCTGCTTTCTGTGTAGTGAAATTTCAAGCCCCAAACCAGGGCTTTGAGCACCTACAAATGCCCTTGATTTTCTGCTGTCTTTGAGGGAAGTTGAGTGTACTAGGACAGGCATAGCCTATAAAGATCTATTGAACATTCCCAGAGCAATATGATTTACTTCAAAGTCTTGTTCACCATCTTCTGGGCATCAAATCTGTTTCCTTGAGCACATCCTATTGAACATTACTGGACACTATAGCTTTGCTGTATCCTGCCCCATCCTAATGTCAATGCAATGAGGGTAGCTAAGGGCTTCAGGTGGGCTATGCCAGATAGGGAAAAGCCACTTTATTAAACTCAAGTGTAAAAGCTCTAGACATGTTATTCAGTTCTACTCTTTTATTCCAAGCCCCTCTTCTTGGAAGGTGGGTGGCTACTATGCCTGTTATGGCTCTGGTAGTGTGGTATAATGGGGAAAACACTGCACTTAGTCAGAAAACCTAGGTCCAAGTCACAGCTCTTCTACTTAGTAGCTGTGTAACCTTAGGCAAATCAGTTGGCTCCTGTGGGCCTCTGTAGTTTTCTTGTCTATAAACCAAGGGGGTTGAACTAGTTGCCTTTTAAGGATTCTTCTATTTTTAAATCTGTAATCAATAAAACATTTCTGGAGAAGACCCCTAGTCTTGATTACATGACTGAGAGTTGACTAAGGATTATTTTAATGCTGTGAACAGCAAGGTTTCTCTTGCTAAAGTTTTGACTTTAAGATCTACTGAGTTTGAAGTTGGCCAGTATGTGTATGTTGAGGCATTGGGGGTGGTGATGGTTATATTAGGATCCACTTAGCATCTAATTTCCATTGGTGGAGATATCCCATTCTGAGTCATCTTCTCTTTAATTTGTGTTATGTTGGAAATTCAGATGGGGAAATAGGATAGAGACTCTCATAACCAAGCATTCAGCCAGACTGTGGGTAGAATGGAATTTTTAGAAACTAGTGTGGCCATGAGGATTTTGGTACGATAGCTTTAGCAGCTATGATAGCAACTTCCCCTGATAGTTTTTGGATCGGGAACCAAAGTTGGAGCTGTGACCATGGTTTTCTCTGGGTTGAAATATAGGTGCTGTTTTTGGGGGCAAGGGAGTCCTTCTTTCTCACCCCTTAGAGTCATCTCATCCAGTATTCCAGTGGTTTTAGTTAAGTGCAGTTCAGGAGAGAATCATCATTCTCAAGCAGAAATCCTAGTTGGAATTGTTTGGTCAAGTACTGAGTCTTCTTTGGTTTGAAAAGGATCCTTCCAGTAACTCACCTTCTCCAGCTAGATTGGGAATCTGTGTTAATTGACCTGATCTGGGAATGATAGTCTTTAAAGTCTGAAGCTTTCTGTGTCATGCTACAGCAGTCATGGGAGTAGGCCAAAGCAATTTTCTCTTTCCTGACTTGGAGGAAGTATCATAAATTACAGGTAACCTGGTTATTCTGGCCTCCTGCTGCCCTCTGTGGAACTGATGTTTGAGCCCAGTGAGGCTTCCATTCAATTAGAGAGCAGAACTTCCTTTTGGAGCAAGGTGTCTTTATGTCTTATAGCAGGGCAAGAGTTGGAGGCTGTGGCTATGCAGGGCCCCTCTGTTAGGAGGCAATGTGATACAATGAAGGAGAGCTGGCTTTGGAATTGGAGGTGTGAGTTCAAAACCTACCTCTGATGTTTACTGTCTGTGAGACCTTAGATAAGTCACTTACTCTTGGTCTCATTTCCTCATCTGTAAAATGAGGGCATTGGACTAGATGGCTTCTGAGGTCATTTCCAGCTCTAGTTCTGTGATCCTATGAATGGACTGTGGGTCTTTGCTTTTTTTGTCTTGCCATAGGATGAAATGTAGAGATGGGTGCCAACCGGCTTCCTGCTTGCAGTCTTTTAGTGGCATATCCTTGACTTTCTAGGGCTGGTAAAATATACTTTAGGTGAAAGAATCCTTTCAGGACCATGATTACCTGCTGTCCCTCAAGGTAGCAACTAAGTCACCTCCAACTCTGTCTAGCCTACAGTTTCTAGAGGAGACCATTGAAGAGAGTGTGAAGCAGCTGTTCTGGTCCCTTGTGGGAGACTGAGTTTTCCAGGCTGGTTCAATGATTGAGATAACCAAGCATTAACATTTGCATTACAGGCAAACAGCTCAGAAATGACCAGGGAGTCTGAACCCTAAGGAAGATAGTGATGGAATTGCTAATCAGAAGTACTGTCTTTGATTCCAGGAGAGGAGTTGAGAGCTTTTCTTCTTGGGGAGGCACCAAGGATTCTGGGTTATCAGTCTCAGACTTAAGGGGGACTGCTCAGAAGAAGAGGTTTTAGACTGTCCGAAATGGTGGCTGCTAGTACCCGGGACAGCTCCAGTGTCTGTACTCTGAAGCCCCAGGTTTGCTTGAGGGGCCCAGAAGTCAGAAACATCAAATCACAAATATTTATTGGGAGTCAAGACAGAGTGATGAGGGATGTAGTGGGAGGAGGTTGTGGGATTGGTCCTCTCCTGTGATAGAGCCATTAGGAAAAGATGACTGAAGTAGGACTCTTATCCTCCTCTAGGAGGAATTGGAGTTGTTGAGAATCCCTAGAATGGGGAAGCCATAAGTTCAAAAAACTGAAGCAGTGACATCCAGTACCAGACACTTGATGGAGCTGGGTCAGAGAGGAAGCATGACATGGAGTCAGGAAGGCATGGGTTCAAACCCTGCCTCCGATGCTTGCTAACTATGTAACCCTGGGCAAGTCACTTTATGTCTCTGTGTTTCTATTTCCTCATCTGTAAAATTAGGGGGTTGGAACTGATGGTTTCTTTTAACTTTAAATTGATGATCTTACAACTTGTTATCCGGAGGACATTTAGGAAGCAATGTTCCCACAAGCCACTCACAAGCCACCAAGGCTGTCAGCTGCCTCCTTCCCTCTGCCCTGCTGGGCCCAGATCCTGACAAACTGGAAATGTGGCTCTGGGTGCCAGTCGAATGAGCTCTCATCCCAGGGCCTGGCAGCCTCTCCTTGGCAGAGTTCAATCTAAAGTCTCTAACCCTTTTCTGCAAACTGTTTGTTGTTGTTTCTGTTTTGTTTCCCTTTCCCCACCCCTGTCTCCCTCTTAACCCTCCCCCTGTGTTTTCACACTATGCGGTGCCACTTGCACACTTTGCTGACTGGCTTGGCCCGACAGCCAGAGAATCTCCTCTTGGCCAGTAAGTGCAAAGGAGCCGCAGTGAAACTGGCAGATTTTGGCCTGGCCATCGAGGTGCAAGGGGACCAGCAGGCATGGTTTGGTGAGTGATGGGCTGGGTGAGGGCAGAGGGTGTGTGTGTGTGTGTGTGTGTGTGTGTGTGTGTGTGTGTGTGCATGTGCACATGGGCACATGTGTGTAAGCATGTGTATGTATAAGTGTGCACGTGCATATGCATTTGTGTGCATTGTGTTGTGTGCATGTGTGTGGTCATGGTCGGGGGGCAGCAGTGGTAAATCAACTGCAGCTAGCCTTCCTACCAAAGATCCTAACTGCCCCATCTCATCTCTCTACTTTTTCTTCCTGGCCAGGTTTTGCAGGCACTCCTGGCTACCTGTCCCCAGAGGTTCTGCGTAAAGAAGCTTATGGAAAGCCTGTGGATATCTGGGCTTGTGGTGAGTCTGCCAAGGAGGCTGCATAGGAGCTGGAGGACAGCCCAGCTCGTGGTAGGGTCATGAGGTGAACTAGGATACATGCCTCTAGGAAGAAGTACATGCCAAAGGCTCATCAATTCAACTAGCTGTAGCTGGGAAGCCTGGTTGGTTGGGTTAGTTACAAACTAGACACCACCATTTTACCTAGTGATGTAAATGTCTACATTTATTGTTGTTGTTGTTGAGTTGTTTTCAGTTATATCTGACTCTTTGTGATCTCATTTGGGGTTTTCTTGGCAAAATACTGGAGTAGTTTGCCATTTTCTTCTCCAGTTCATTTTACAGATGAGGAAACCAAGGCAAACAGGGTTAAGTGACTTGTCCAGGGTCACACCACTAGTAAGTGTCTGAGGGCAGATTTGAACTTAGGAAGATGAGTCTTCCTGACTTTAGGCCCAGTGCTCTATCCATTGTGTTACCTAGCTGTCCTAGATATCTGTATAACCTAGAAAAAAATCACTCTCTATCTGGGTGTCAGTTTCCTCATCTGTAAAATGAGTAAGTTGGCCTAAGTGATCTATAAGGTCCCTTCCAACTCTGAATGATCCCCCAACCTATGACTTTGATGACAGGTGCTCATCCATCCATTCGTTTACTTAGTAAAATGTATTAATGTATTAAAAATGTTAATGTATTAGTCTGCAGTAGGGGCTAAGAAAGAGACAGAGATAAATTAGGCCTGGTCTCTACTTATAAGGCTCTTACAATCTAGTAATGGCAGTTATATATTGCATAGATTATACATATTGTAGTAAGAAACTAGGGGCAGCTACATAGCATGGTAGATGGAGCACTGGCCCTGGAGTCAGGAGGACCTGAGTTCAAATGCGGCCTCAGACACTTGACGTTTACTAGCTGTGTGACCCTGGGCAAATCACTTAACCCCAGTTGCCTCGCCAAAACAAAACAAAACCAAAAGAAAAAAGAAACATAGCCTAATTGAGAGTGACCAGTCTTGGAATTAGAAGGATCTGGGTTCAAGTCCTGCCTCAGGCAGACACTAGCTGTGTGACTGTGGCCAAATTACTTATCCCTTCAGTGTACTCAGGCAGTTCCCCCAAGCCATAAATTATAAATTAATTTCCAGTCTACAACAATGGAGGGAATTTTCACACTTAGAATGCCCAATGCTGAGTAAAATCACAGTCTAGGACCCCTCCCGTTTAAAATATATAATAGCATAAATTCATAAGAATACAGATTAGGGACAGGTGACCATCACCTGAAGAGAGGCTTTGTGGAGAAAGTGACCTTTGAGTACAGCCAACGAGGGGCCATGATGGGGACACTCCAGGCATAGGGTAGAGGGCCTAGAAGTAGGAAAACTAAGGAGTGAGTGACCTAGTCTGGCTGCAGCCTAGAGTAAAGGAGAGGGAATGTTCACGAAGGCTAAAAGGGGAGGGAGGGCTCAGGCTATGGCAGGCCTTGAAGGCACTGCTATGGAGTTTGGATTTTCTTCATTAGGCAGCAGAAAGCTTTTGAAGGGCTTTGAGCAATGGAGACCTATCATATCTGGAAAGAAATAATTAGCCTGTCACGTGTGGGCCTTGTAAACCCTCCATGAATTATTTAATTTGACAATGAAGAGGTTGCATCTTGAAGGTCTGTCCTAGCTCTGACAGGTGCCTGGGAGGGAGGACAGCAGCCCGAAGGCATCAGATCCCAGAAGTTGGCTTCCAAGAGAGGTTAAGCATGAACTTTGCTGTGCAAAGTCAGAGAGACAGGGACTTGAGCCTTTAGGAAAAAAATGCCCGACTCTAGCTCTGTATATGTATGTGTGTGTGTGTGTGTGTGTGTGTGTGTGTGTGTGTGTGTGTGTGTGTGTGTGTGTATATATATATATATATATATATATATTTGTGCATGTGTGTAATCTGTTTATGTCTATAAACGTTTATGGCTTCAACCTTTGGCAGCAGATACAATAGCTAAGGTGCTGGGTGGTGCAGTGGATAGATTACCAGGCCTGTAGTTAGGAAGACTCATTTTCATCAGTTCAAATCCAGCCTCAGACACTTATTATCTGTGTAACCCTGGGCAAGTCACTTAATCCTCTTTGCCTCGGTTTCTTCATCTGTAAAATGAGATAGAGAAGGAAATGGCAAACCACTCCAGTATCTTTGCCAAGAAAACCCTAAGTGAGCTCATGCAGACTGAAACACTGAAATAACTGACCAACGGCATTTAATCCTAGTCCTGTCTAGCAACAGAATGAATGTGTGACTGGCTTCATGTTCCTTCTATTCTGAGACAACTCCAGGTCATTTGAGATTAATGAAGTATGTGAAGCTTCTTCTACTTCTAGAGAAAGACATTCCCAGCCCAATTCAGTGTTATGGCGAAAGAGAGTTTTCTTCGCCAGATATTTTGGTTTTCTCAGTATTCCTCAAACAGTTTTTGGCACAGTGGAAAAAACATTGGAGACCTGGGTCCTGGCTCTGGCTCTGGCACCACCTTGCTGAGTGACCTTACACAAGTTCTTAAGCTCTCTGTGTGTCCATTTCCTAGCACTTAAAATGGAGGTGATAACATCCAGCTGTCCTTCTTAGTTCAAAAGTTATTACAAAATTCAAGGGAGCACTAAAAAAAAACCAAAGCAACCCAGGAGGGGGTTGACAGTTGGGATATTTTATTTTATTTTATTTTATTTCTGGAGGCAGAGAATGTAGTAAAAAGAACAATGGAGTTGGAGTTGGGAGACTTGAGTTCAAATCTTGGCTCAGATAATTGCTTCCCATGTGATATTGAGAAAGTCACTTTACTTTATTGTTGTCGATTAAAAATAATAGCAATAATAACGGCTCATGTTTATATAGCACTTTAAGGTTTGCAAAGTGCTTTACAAATATCTCATTTGATCCCCACAACAACCCTGGGAGGCAGATGCTATTATTATCGCCATTTTACAGATGGGGAAACTGAAGTAGACAGAGGTTGCCCAGAGTCACACAGCTCGTAAGAGCTCTCTCCCTATGGCTCTTCGGAATACTGGGCTCATTCAGTCTTGAAAATTGCATTTGATAATGTTGGATTTCAACTCAGGTCTTCTTGACTCCTGGTCCGGCCCTCTGCCCACTGTGAATAATGTGTAAGCATTTAAGTGCTTTTTATATTCCAGGCACTGCTTTAGGTGCTGGGGATATGAAGACATAAATTAAGTAGTCCTTGCCCTTCTACAGTGGGGAATGAAGGTTGAAGGGGCTTCACATAGACAATGTCTAAGGTCCCTTCCATTTCCAAATGCTGTCTTCACTTAAACCTCTCTGGGCCTCAGTTTCCTCATCTGTAAAATGGGGGGGGAGTTAGATTAGATGGCCTCTGAGGTCCCTTCTGGACTGTGTGAGAGGGTAGGCCAGAAGCTCTGTGAGCCAGCTCAGCCCCTGTTCTCCTCACTTATTTCACCACCCTTGCTAAGGAGACAGAATTAAAGGGTGTCTGAAGCAAGAGCACAGAAATGTATGAGAGCAGGGGGAGTGATGCAAAAGCCTTTGGACCTCAAGGCATGAGATCTGCTTCCTTGAGCCCTGGTTTGTAGAAGTGGCGAGCTATGGAGGACAGGACAAGGTCACTCCTTCCTTCCCTCCCCATCCCAATGTTCCTCCTCAGGTGTGATCCTCTACATTCTGCTTGTGGGTTATCCTCCATTCTGGGATGAAGATCAACACAAACTTTATCAGCAGATCAAGGCCGGAGCTTATGATGTAAGTCCAGGCTTTTCAGAACTTCTTTTGTTGGGGCTGTGCAACCAGCTGGGCATGGATCAGCAAGACCTTTGGGCCTTTGCTTCACAGAGAACTGGTTTTCTGTGCCCTGGAGGGCTGAGAGACCAAACTGTAATCTAGCTGACTCTTCCTTGGCTTTAGTGTCCTCCCCCTCCTACTCCCAGGACTTTCACTCTTTGCCCAGTGGGGTAGGCGCATCTTCTCAGCAGCTAGCCCAACGTGGGGGCCATTGGGAAAGGGAAAGGCTGGGCTTGATGTTGTTGTTCCCTGTTTGTCCTTGAGTTGACAACATTTGTGAAGGGTTCAAGGCAGAAAGGTGAACTGGGGAGAGAGGTGTAAGATTTGGGGGGGTGGGGCAGTGAGGCTGGGTTGGTAAGAAGGCCTATTTTTAGTGCTGATGATTCGGTCTTTTGAGGAAGTTCCAGGCACCATTCTAGATTTCTTCTTGTGAGGTTTTTTTTCCCTCTTCCTCCTCCTTTAGTTCCCATCCCCTGAGTGGGATACTGTCACTCCTGAAGCCAAAAACCTTATCAACCAGATGTTAACCATCAACCCTGCAAAAAGGATCACAGCTCATGAGGCCCTGAAACACCCATGGGTCTGCGTAAGTGTCTCCCTTGGGGCCCCGGGACTTGGCACATAAGTGCTTGGGTAGTTGGATTTTCTTTATGGGAATGAGGGGAGGCAGTCTTGTGAGGTACCCCGTGGCTCCTAGGAGTACCAGGCTTGTTCATTTTTGATGACTGTAACATGTGAAGCTTACACAACCAGGACAAATCAGGAGTCTTACTCTTTCTAGGTTGGTAGGCCAATCAACCACTAGACACATTTCTTCTGAAATGATGATCAGACTTTGAAGTGTTATTGGAATATCTACTATGGTTATCCCTTTCACATCGCGACTTTCCCCTCTGTGGTTTCGATATATCATGGCTCAGCATAAGAAATTAAATGGGAATTTTTTGGGGAGTTTTGTGGAAGCCACAGACAATACCCAAAGGCCAACAAATGACACAGAAAATATTTAGAAACTCAGTAATGCATAAAATTTATGTGTACTATTGTATAATATCAACATAGTTTTGATATCGTTTAATATCATAATAATTCAGACTTCTCTGATATGAAAGGAGAGCCAAACATTTTTACGAGGATTTTCCAGATTGTGGGGGCACCATGCCCCTAACCCCTGTGATGTGGAAGGGATAACTGTAGTTTCAAAATAATTTGGTAGATTACTTTGGAGAACAGATTAGAAAATTAGAATCAGTCTCCTCTCTCAGAGAACTCACATCCAGCTGGAGATCACCAGAAGGAAGAATGGTTTGAGATTGTGCTGGCTGGTTGAGGTTGGCTTCCTGACCTTAATCTATAATTGGTGAATTTGTATCTCTCAGCTCTATGTCACCAGGAAAAAGTAGAAACCTCTTAGCTTTGATGCCACTGTCTCCTCCCCACTGGCCCCTTTTCCTGGTTGTGTCAAGTCACTGGGGACAATGGAACGACGTTTTCCATTCCTAAGGGCCTCCTCCTCACCTTCTAATAGCGTCTCCTCCTTCTTACAGCAACGCTCAACCGTGGCCTCAATGATGCACAGACAGGAGACTGTGGAGTGTCTCAAGAAATTCAATGCCAGGAGAAAGCTTAAGGTAAAGCCTTTTCTTTTCTTTAAAAGTGCTGTTGGTGCCTTCTGTTTTAACATCACAGATATCTGAAGACATGACCTTTCCTCTCTCACCATCTCTCCCAGTCTGAAGTAAGCATTCCCTTCTGAAAAGAAAAACACAAGCCACACAGTGGTCACTTCTAACAGCATCTGCAACATTCCACATTCCTCTTCAGTGAAAGTTCCCTTTTTTTTTCCCGTCAGGAAAATGACACATTTGTACAGGTCGCACTCTTGTGCAGCTTTAAAAAAATTTATCGTTGTTATTTGTTTTTATACCACAACCATTTCTTGATGCAGTCATTCCAACCCTCCACCCGTATACACATTCAGTGAGCTTACCTTGGTAACAAAGAAAAGCAATTAAACAAAGCCAGTTGTTCCAGGGAGCACATCAGATAGCATGTTCGATATTCTGCACCCCTAGTCCACCACTTCTCCAAGGAAAGGTGGGAGGTACAGTTTCTCCTTAAAAGGCTACATCCTTCCTGGCTCTCCTAGAATCTCAAAGCTGTGCTGAGGGTTGAGAAATCGGTCATAGAATGTGAAGGCTGAAGATAAAAACTATGCCTGAGCCTACAGGTTCCCCTAGTATGGGTTGAAAAAGCCAAACAGTAGTAAGTGTCCTTGGGGTGCTCCCTCGGCCTTCCAAAGCCAAGGATTTCTGGGCAGAGCGCTTGCCGGGTAAGGCAGACTCTCAGGGGTGGGGTGGGGTGCGGGGAATTGTACCCCAAAAAGCCTCCTTTTTCTGCTGCTTTCTACCTTCTTGATTGATCCCAGCTTGGAATAGTCCATGGTCCACTGGGCCGAAATGGGAGGGAAGATGGAGGGACAACGGAGCCTCTGTTTCCTTCTCTTCTGCTCTCTCCCATCCTGCTCCCTGCTCTTCACCTTGCCAGCTGCATTGACAGCAGGTTTTTTAACCGGTTTCATATATGCCCTCAGAGCTTTAGAAGTAGAACTCAAAAACATTGAATCATTAAAAAAAAATATAGAACCAAAACCAGACAAAAAGCAGATCTTGAATTTGTTTCTTTATTCAGGACTTCCAGAGACCAGGAAGTTAAAGATGAAGGTCAAGATTCCTGTGGGCCACTTATTTCAAGGACACTCTGACTTCCCACCAGGGGGAAAAAAACACCTCCCACACCAAATAACTGATACCTAAAATTCCCCATTTAGATATTCTTTCCCTTGGTCCAAAGAGTCTTGTCCTCTGTTAAAATGAAAACATCTTGGGAGGGATTACACATCAAACATCATCAGCCATTCATCCCTTGGTGTGAAAGAGTTGATAAGATCCTTTTCTGTGAGCAGGCACTGTAGTAACTTCCTCATCGGTTTCCTTGCTTCGGGTCTGGCCCTTCTCCAATCCTTCCTTCACACAGCAGCCTTCACCTGAAATAATCTTCCCAAGGCACAGGCCTCTTGCTTGCTCAAGGATCTTCAAAGGCTCCCTGTTGCTTCTGGAGGAAAAAAAAAATCTAAATCCCTCATCATGGTCCTTCCCAACCTGGCTTAATAACAACAGATGTTTATATGGCCCCGTACATAATGATCTCATTTTATCCTCGTAATAGTGCTGAGTAAATACTACAGATCTTATGACCACCATTTTACAGATGAAGAAACTGAGACTAGAGAGGTTTAATGACTAGCACAGTATTACATGGGCAGTTAGGTCGTGCAGTGGATAGAGTGCCAGCCCTGCAGTCAGGAAGATCTGAGTTCAAATCCGCCTCAGACACTTACTGACTGTGTGACCCCGGGCAAGTCACTTAACCTTGTTTTGCCTCAGTTTCCTCATCTGTAAAATGAGCTATAGAAGGAAATGTCAAACTACTGCAGTATCTCTATCAAGAAAACCCCAAATGGGGTCACACAGAGTTGGACATGACTGAAATGATTCAACAACAATACTGTCACCTAGGTCACATGGTCCTAAGGAGGGATTAATAGGAACACAAGCTGACATCAATGCAATATAAAGAGCTGCGTGACTAGCACATGCCCATTTGCAAAGCGCTTTGTAGACATTATGCCATGTATACCCAGAGTTCCAGCCCAGCATGTCCGAGCTCTGGGCCCAGCCCCCACGTGCTGTGCTTCACACCAGGTTTTGGATTCCTTTTTCCTCTCCAGACTTCATGTCACATTATTCCCCTTTGCACAATCACACTGCAGTCAGATTGGTACACCTGGCGTTTCCCCAGCCTGACACTCCATTTCCTGCCTGCGTGTCCTGAGTACACGCCCTCCTCATGAATGCTGATGTGTTGTGGGCTCATGAAGAGTTGGACACTACTGAAAAATGCCTGAAATGTGCCCGACACTTTGCAAGACCCAGGAGATAAAATAGTGCTTGCTATCAAGAAGCTTACATTCTATTGGAGGTGAAGGTAGGGTGGGGGGAACGACGTGTTTTAGTCATGTTTGACTTTTGGTGACCTCATTTGGGGTTTTCTTGGCAATGATACTGGAGTGGTTTGCCATTTCCTTCACCAGCTCATTTTACAGATGAGGAAACTGAGGTAAACAGGGTTAAGTGACTTGCTCAGGGTCACATAGCTAGTGAGCGTCTGAGGCCTGATTTGAACTCACAAAGATGAATCTTTCTGACTCCAGGCCCAGCACTCTCTGCTACCTAGCAGCCCTCTGCCAAGCATGCAGTAGGCATTTAATAAATGCCTGTTGAATGACCCAATGACTAAATCTTTCTTTTCTCTCTCAGGGGGCGATCCTTACCACCATGCTGGCAACACGAAACTTCTCAGGTGAGAACAGTTTTTTCCCAGAAAAGAAAGAATAAAGTGCTGGCTTCCTTCCCTTGTACTTTTTTCTTGTTCAAGAGGTCAGAGAGTCAAGACTTTTTTCCAAGCTAAACCTTGCCAGGAAGAAGGCCCAGAGAAGGACCCGGCTCCAAGGCTTTCTCAGTGGCTCCAACAACCCACTTCCTTCTCAGCCCACTTCCTTTCCCCTCCCCACACGTGCTTCCTTCTGCCCACCTCTTTGCCAGTGCTCAGGCAAACCTCTGTTTCCCAACCCTGACTCTCGTTGCCCTGCGAGGGGCTTCCCCTTCCACCCTGTCCCCACATGACCGTGGTCTTTCTTGGCTGTGTAAGCAACATCTGGATCCTATTGTGTTCATCTCACCTGCAAAGTGGGGCCTCCTGAAGACTGCTGCTCCATCACTTGCTGTCTCCTGCTGCAGACAGCAGCGGCTCTGTCGCCTGCAGCCCCGGGGCCAGGATGGGGGCCCTGCTGGAAGGCCACGTTACAGTTACAGTCCTGTTCTGTTTTGTTTTCTCTTCTCTGTGTCTCTTTCTTCCTCAGTATCTTACTTGTGTCTCTCAGGGGTCTCCCTTCCCTACTGAGTGTTTGTGCTGCCCACAGCCCACCCTGCCCCCCTTAGTAAGAACTGCAGGTTTCCCATGTGTTTGTCCAGGCGTGTTGGTTTTGCAGCTCTGTGGCCTCTGGGTCTTGTGTTTTGTTTTTGTTTTTGTTCTCAACCATCCAAGATCTTATCTTGTCAAGGGGAAGATGTACTTGAGAAAGTGCTGATGGCTCAGAGCAAAGAATGTGAGGTTATGTGAGATGAGGAGCTACTAGGCATGGTATTCAACCAGTCTATAGCCACCGCCTCTCTCTGGTATACCTGGGCACCTAGGAGAGGGGCCCTACTGCTGGTGACCTCAGAGAGAAGGGTGAAACTAGGAGTGGAAGTCAGGGAAGAGAGGCTCAAGCTGAGGGCATTCAAGTGTCTGGGTGTAGGCCCCAGAAGCAGATAGTGAATGGAAGTCAGATCAGGAGAACAAGCCGAGGATGATCCCAGGAAGGGGTTGGGGGCAGCCTCCGGAGTGGAGCTGGATGCACCCGCCACGCCTGGATGAAATGTCTTTGCACCATGTGACGTTGCTGTTAGTCTGTAATAACTGAATGTCAGAAGTCAGTCTCTCTCTCTCTCTCTCTCTCTCTCTCTCTCTCTCTCTCTCTCTCTCTCTCTCTCTCTCTCTCTCTCTCTCTCGCTATGTTCATCTTTCTGTTCACATCTCATAGCTCCTTCCCCATTTCCTCATGCCTCCCCTCCCTGCCGGTCCCTTCTACTTGCCCTGAAAGTTCCTGTTACTTTTGCTGTGATATTGTACTGCTGGGATTAGGACCACATAATGTCACACCAATACTAATGGGACTTTTTCCATTGTCTGCTGCTCTGTAGAGGACTTGGGGACCCTGTTTCCCAGGTCCCAGCTGTGTTTCCCCCTTCCTGCCCCCCCCTTCATCCCATAGGTCTGTGTCCTCTCAAGAAGCCCCCATTTGGGGTTTTCTAAGGAGAAAGGAGGCAAATGCTTTTCCAAATGTTGATGGACCTAGATTTGTTTGCACTCTGTTTTGGGACAGGGATTCTGGTGCCGACAGTCTTGTCTTTCCACCTAAACTTGAACTCTAATCTTTTTCTGCTTCCTTTGTCTCTTTTCTTTCCTTATCTTGCCCATCCCTCTGTCTTATCTTGTCCGTCCCTCTTTCTTCCCCAACTTCCCATCCCTTTCCTTCTCTTTCTCACTCTCCTTCCCCTTTCTTCTCCTTCCTTCCTTCCTCCCTGCCTCTCTCTCTCATCCTTTCCTTCTTCCCTCCCTCTTTCCTTCCTCCCTTCCATCTTTTGTTCCTCCCTCCCTCTTTTCCTCCTTTCCTTCCCTCCCTCCCTCCCTCCTTCCTTCTTTCCTCTTTCCCTTTCCTTTCTCCTTTCTTCCTCCCTCACTTCTTTCCTCATTCCCTCCCTTCCTTCCTTCCTTCCTTCCTTCCTTCCTTCCTTCCTTCCTTCCTTCCTTCCTTCCTTCCTTCCTTCCTTCCTTCCTTCCTTCCTTCCTTCCTTCCTTCCTTCCTTCCTTCCTTCCTTCCTTCCTTCCTTCCTTCCTTCCTTCCTTCCTTCCTTCCTTCCTTCCTTCCTTCTTCCTTCTTCCTTTCTCCCTTCCCCCTCACTGCTTTCCTTCTCCCTTGTTTTCTAACCTGGTGCTAACAGTGGGCAGACAGACCACCGCTCCGGCCACAATGTCAGCTGCGGCCTCCGGTGCCACCATGGGGTTGGTGGAACAAGGTAGACGTGTCTTGAAGAGTCCCACCCTCCCTTCCCACCCCTTCCTCGCCTACCACCTGCTTAGAAACTCAACCAGCATGCAACTCCATCCATCATATACAACTCATCCAGCCAGTGCCCAGCTCCCTGCTAAGGCTTTGGGGACTGTCCCCCTGACTGCAGCCAGACAGGCACGGAGCCAGGAGGCCCAGCTGTGTCACCCCCTTGCCCACCCACAGAAATAGGAACCAGAAAAAAGCTGTCATAAAGGAAGACCAAGGGTCTCTACTCTCAGAAAAGAACTTTGATGTAATAAGATCTGAGAGGCCCCTGGTCCCTGGGATTAGGGCCTAGGGTATCTACTCCAAAGTGTCCACCTTCCCAGGGACTCTACCACTTTCTGGAACTTGCTTGAAATGACCCCTGTTCAGGATTGTGTTGATGACGCAGCAGTTACAGAGGCAGAGCTGCTGCTGGGCAAATCTGGAATCCTGAATGGGGAACAGGAGCAGAGGCAGGTTGGAAAGGAGACAGCCAGTTTTAGGCTTTGGGCCTCTCTCAGTCACTGTTTAGCTTCCTGCTTGGACTCTATGGCCCCTGGGGGGAACAGGGAGGACTCATTGCCACTTCTCATCCTAAGGCTTTCAGCTTCCTGTCCCAGCATCCTCACCTCCTGTCCCAACCTGCCCCTGCTACTGAATCTAGGGCAAGTGGTGGTGAGAAGCACATACAGGAGGGGCCTGGCAGAGAAGGAGGGCTGGGGGTAAGAGGGATAGGATCCAGGTCTCAGAACCTGAATAGGCAGCCTTTGAATGTACCTTCTTTCTCCCATGGGGACCTGTGGCCCTGAGTTCCATTTCTGAGGTTAAAGAAAGTGGCATCCCAGTCACTGCCCATGGAACTCTCTGCTTAGCCCCTCGTGGGCTCTGTCCAGGGAAAGCCATGGCTGCATTGGGTAGGGACCGGTAAGTACAGGAGCCTGTAATCTAGTTTTGCCTTGTTTTCCATGATGCATGTGTGGCCCCTGCTTCGTCTGCCACTTGCAGGGAGAGTTCTATTCTTTATTCTGTGTCTCAGCTATGAATTGATCCTCTGTGAGAATGGTCTTGGCAGGTGTCCTTTTAGATCTCTTCCTCTGAATACTACCCTCCTCCCTGCCTCACCCCTCTCAGCCTACAACATGTCCGGGTTGGTGAAGAACCTGCCAATTTTTTGTGTGGTGTGCTCCTTGAGGCCAGAGAAATTGTTTTCCTGGAACCATATGAGTATTGGAAATTCCAGCACTGGACTGGGAACCCCAAGCCTTAGTTTCTAGTTCCAGCTCACTCTGTCACTGACTTGCTGTGTGACCATAGTCCAGTCTTCTCATCTCTCTGGGTCTCAGGTTCCACCTCATAAAATGAGGAGTTGGAGTGGATGATGTCCAGGGTCCATTTCCCACCTCACCATTCTATGCTTCCCTGACTCACTGGCTCATACCTGGGAAGTCCAGGAACAAGATCTGGATGACAGGTCCCAGCCTAGTACAGACTTTCTTCTGTGACCAGGTAGCAGAAGAGCTCTCCTTGAGTAAAGGCCTCTTGCTCAGGCGCAGGAGAAGGCAAGATGGCAGGGTGGGGTGGAGGGAGAACAATCCAGCTGGAATTCTCCTCTATAGATTATAGGAGTAGAATTTCCTAGGAGGAGGAAATTTTTAGACTCTTTTAGAGAAAAGCATTTCTATGGGACGTCCCCATGCCTCTTCCCTTACAATATGCACAGCCTTCCTCCCTGCCAGATGGGATCAGATTCTGAGATCTCATATGGAGCTTGTGAAAGCCCACCTCAGTGGAAGTAGTGTGGTATGGTGGAAAGAGCCATTGCTCTGGAGTCAAATAGTGCCTCTGATACTTACTCTGTAACCTTGGGTAAGTAATTTCACTTCCCAGGACATCAGTTTCCACCTTTGTAAAATGAGGTGGTCGTGCTGAATGGCCTCTGAGGTCCCTTCTGGCTGTACATTTATGATCCTATGATCAGTAGGCTGTAGTAGGAACAAACAAACAAACAAAAAGTCCTCTTTTCCCCCAGCAAAGAATACTAAAATCTCCATGACCCTAAACTCCGAAGGAGATCTTTGCCCAGAGATGCTTTTCCCTTCCTACACGGGAGGATGTAACTACCAAAGTTACATCCTGGTGAAGAGCAAAGTCAGTAATATCCCCTAAAAGGAGGCTCCTTTGAGTGAATCACAGGCTGGAGAGCAGTGGTTGAAACTGGTCTTGGCATTAGTTGTCTTTCCAATGAGAAAGCTATCTACAGAAAGGATTAAGCTAAATGCTGCCCCCCTTTTTAAGGTTTACCAGGCTCTCTGAGGTGGAATGAGGGAATCTGGTGCTGAGGGAGGGTGGAGAGGGACAGAACTGGAGTGAGATGGAGCTGATAGCTCCCTGGGGTGGGTGTGATATAAAAGGTGTGATGTTAAGGAGTCGGTGCCCCCTTGAAAAGGCTGCCTCTGAGCCTCACTCCATGCCTGGAGCTCCAGCTGGTGATGAATGCTGATATTGCTTGCAGGTTGAATGTGGTGAACGATGCATGAGTTTGTGTGCATGTCCCAGGGCCCACCAGACCCTGGCAGGGTTTCTGCTTTGTTTGTGTGAGTAATGGCGCTGCATGTGGGAAGGAACTCAGCATGGCAGTCCCAGAGTGGCCTAAGGTCAGAGTTTAGCAAGGAATGAAAGTGGGGCTTTTGGGAACCACAGCGCTAGGCAGGCTCAAGACAGGCCCTAACATCTGTTGAAATGTGCCTTTGGTTTAGCAAATGAAAAGTGGTATGGTCAGTGGCTGGGTTCCCTACCTAGTCCTGGTATGATAATGCCTGTTGGATGGAGGGTGGCCTGAGTTTCAAGGATTTCTGTATCATAAGGTGAAGGTTGGCCATGAGGCACAGTTCTGAGCAATGACTTCAGAAGCAACCCCCTTTCTTTTTCCATGAATTCTTAAAAACTTTGGGGGAAATAAGACATTCGATGACTTCCCCTTGGAAGCGGAAGTCAGTGAGGTGCAGGAGAAAGAAGACTGGAAGTGAAATTAGAGGACCTAGGATCTAACCCTAGCTCTCTCTCCTGCTCCCAGCAAGCCTCTTCACCTTCTCTGTAGAATGAGAGTGTTGGGAGAGAACTTTCGAGGTCCCTTCCAATTCTAAATCTGTGATCTGCGATCTAGATCTGTGATCCTAAGATCAGTTAACACCCATTACGAGCTAAGCACTGGGGTTATAAAGACAAAATGAAACAGTCCCTGCCCTGAGAGAGCTTATGATCTAAGATGTTGGCAGGTACTTGAAATGTGAACAACTAATCATTTCTCCTTGCTTGGAGCCAGGGAACTTCTTCCCACTTCAAGCTATCTCCTAACTCCAATTAGGCTAGAAGTACAGCCTGGTTAGTGAGAATTTAGCCAATTGTTTCTTCATGAAGTAAGCATCAGAGTTTCACTGTTGCTAAGATCAAAGAAGTCCTAATCTCATAATCCTCATGAGCCATCTGAGAAACCAAGCATCATAATGTGGTGAGGCATACTTATAGATATGTAGCAAAGTCTAGTTGTGGCAACATAATGTTATAAGGGACTTGAAGAAGAAGTTATGAGTTCAGAAGATGCTATTAACTCTATACTCTAGGGATCATACCCTTGGGCAAAAGGAGGCTATAAAAAGATCTCCTTTTCCATTCTTCCTTCAGGATCTGAGATGCTGTCTCATTGAGGGTCCTCTGTGTGGTGGGAAGGAAAATTGGATTTCTTTTGCCTCTTACCTTCAGCGGGCTCTATTAGCTGCCACCTTCTGTGGTTGAATAGCTGTGGCTGTTTTCAGGGAAGCTTAGTTCAAATAAAGCAAAAGATGGTAAACACACAAGATATGAAGTTGCTCACACATAGTGTGGTGCCATTGAAAGAGCACTGGATTTGGAACCAGAGAACCTGGGTTCAAATCCTGGCTTTGCCGCTTTTGACCTTGTGTGACCTCAGGCAGGTGACTTCACTTTGGGGGGCCTTAGTTTTTTCATCTGGAAAATGAGGGAGTTCAGTGATGTCCTCAAAGGTTTTACCAGCCTGAAATCTATAATCCTCCTCTGTCCAATTCTCCACTCAGGGGAGAGCCATGAAGAGCCAAGGAGTTAAGAAAAAATGTCTTTGTCCCACTTTCCAGTGAGACCCAGTTGATTTCTGGGGTAACTCAGAATAACACATTTAGAATTCTGCAGGGCCAAAGGCAGTTTTTTAAAAAAATCCACTGTGTAATGGAGGTAGTGATAGAGATATTGTGTTGTTAAGGAGAACTAAAAATAGTTTAAAGTAGGAATTATTTCAGTGGAGTTTCCCTTCCACATAGGTGTTGAGATTAGTTTCATCTTAAACTCTCACAGATGACCTGGGAGGATGCAGTTGTGCACAACAAGGCTCTAAGTGTTCAGGTGGCCGTCCTCTCTTCCACTTCCTGATAAGCTAATAGGGACAAATAAGGGAACCATTTATGAGTATAGGTAATAGGCAGAGAAGTAGCAAGTGAGCATCAATAGAGACAGGAATGAGGCCAGGCTGCACCGAAGGCATACCAAACGATGCTTTGGAGGGTGTCCTCTGAGCTCTTTCATAGTGACCTCCCAGGACGAGAACCTTGGAGGTGTTATGGACTACTCCTTGAAGGCACGAACTCCCAAAACCAACAGAATGGTAGGGGATCATCAGGAAGGTACTAGAACAAAAGAAAACCACTCTTAGTGATATGAGAAATGGCATTTACTCTATTATAATTCCTACCATACGAGCCCCATTGTGGAATAGAAAGGGTACAAGATTTGGAGTTAGAAGAACTGGGTTCAAATCCCACCCCGCTACTTATGGCTTGTGTGGCTTTGGCCATGACAGTCACGTCACCTCTCTAAGACTCAGTTTCCTTATCTGTATGATGCAATGGTTGGATTAGATGGCCCTTCAGGTCCTTTTCAGATTGACGTCTATAACTGTGACTTGTACATTAC